AACCAATCAGAACGCGACATTCATAACAGTTATTTTATAATTTTTCATTATATTTTCCTGGAAAAGCTTTGCTCATAGCTTCCACCTTTCGTAGATGCTCTATCAAAAAGACACCATTGTACACCCAACATAAGGAGAGCTTTGGTTACGATAGACAAATTATTTATTGATAAAATATAATAAATATGACTCCTAATAGCTAAGGATACTGGTACGTTTGATGTATGAGGGTTTACTAAGCAGCTAGTCTCTTCTTTCTGGAGCAGCTGAGGGTGGATTCTTTTGCTATCATTATCACGGAGTTGTATCTTATCTCAGCCTGTAAATCGTGTTGCGTGTTAGGCATGGATTTGCACTACGTTAGCTGTTCGTTAGAGTCTGTGGATCCTAGATATATAAGAAAACTGTTAGAAAAAGGTGAACCTGTGTTAACCGACCGACCATTGGGTCAAGACCGATCGATCGTGCGCAAAATGCATGCCACTACGTAGTGCATAGAAGTATAATGAGCCTGTGGTAACCGACCACCCATTGGGTCAGGCCCTGACCAAGCGTTCGTGCCGACCAATCATTGGATCAAGACCAACCCTTGTATAATGAAGACCCGTGTTGAGGCTTATCACCATACTAACCATTCTCAACGATTACGTCCTCCGATTTTGATGTCTAGAAAACAAACACACTTRCTGTCAGTAAATATAATGGTATTTATCTTGGCAGCGCATGGTTACTTACTCACCGGTATTTCCTGTGCTAGTTGTTGTACAACACTTTCCAGGTAATCTGGTAAGGTTTTGAATGGATTGGAACTTGGTTGGAAGAAATGTTGACTGCGTCGAGCCAAAAGTCGTAATGCTGAGGGTAACAGAAAGTAATCATTCAGAAAAGAAGTGGGGAGGGAGGGTAGGCAGGCATATAGTCATATCAGAGACAACACATGCATATTATCCCAACGGCTAAATTACAGGTARGCTATGGGCAACTTGGGCGAAATATACTAGAGGCCGTGAAGTGCAGGTGGCTTCTCATTGCCGTAGAGAGCTATGGGACATCCGCCTCCAGGAAGGTGGGCTAGGTACTCGAAAACAACACCGTACAGTTGGCTAACCTAGGCTAGGTACAAACAAGATGTGACTGGATCTTGAATCACAAAAAAAAGTTTTGAATTTTCACCTTTTGAAAGGCCATGGATTATCTTAATGTGTAGCAAAAAAATTCCCAACTTCTAAAACTTGTTTTCCTCTTCTTAATGCCCGAATTTTGAGTGGTTTCTAATTTTGGAAAATCT